TAAGCGTTATTTGGGTCTCATTTGGTCCGTTGGGGTTTGTAGCCTTGCAGCCCCACCGTCGTCCTTCGTCGCAGGGCAGTCCGTTGTGGTTCTACTCGTGTTTACTCCGAGTTCGGCTACTGCTAGAGACCCGAAGTACAGCTCAACTCAGGCCCAAAGTTTGTCGTGACTCAAAAGCCCCACACCCTCAATCGCCTCATCGAGAACATCCGGCGCCACCATCGCTCGTCTCTGCTTTCGGTAAGCCTCCTGACACAAGGGGTGTCTTTGATGGAAAGCTAGAAAATCGAACTTCAACAAATTTGGGTGGGTTGGTGGGTGGGGGGGGGGGGGTAGCATGCACGGAACCCCACAACATTAGGGTTTAGGGTTGGGATGGGCCCCCTTATACGAACAGTCCTTAATAGGGATTGGAAATAGGGGTTCCTAGAATCCCTACTCAGCACTGTTAGTATAAGGGGGAACATCCCCAAGTTAGTTCCATGGTAGGGTGGTTTATATCGGGTTTATATCGGTTTTTGTTACTAGAATCCCTGTTGAGGACTGTTAGCATAACGGGGAACATCCCAACCCTAAACCCTAATTTCATGGGAATACCAGAGGGGTCACTAGAACCCCTAAAGAGGAGTGTTAGTCTAATCCCTACACCCTAAACCCTAAACCCTGAACGGGGGAACATCCCAGATTTAGGGCTTCGGGGTCGTGGTCCTTGCAGGCTCTGCGCACCAGGACGCAGGCCGCCTCACAAAAGTGGCGGCTTCGGGGTCTTTGGGCCCAAGTCCTAAACCCGAAACCCGAAACCCTAAACCCTAAACACTAAACCATAAACCCTAACCCTAAACCCGAAACCCTAAACCCTAAACCACCCTAAGCCCCAAATTAAGAAGGGCTCTAGCAATACTACCCCTAAGGTCATATCAGAATCCTCAGGCTCCCTGTAGTATTCAAGGAAAGCCCTAAACTCCAAACCCTAAACCCTGAACCCTTAAACCCTAAACCCTGAACCCAAAACTCCGGGGTTTGGAAGGTTGGGGGTTGACAAACATAGGGCCCCTAAAGTAGACCCCCCCAATTGTAGGATTCCCTTCTCATAAGGACCCTAATAAGGTACCCCTCATATCGTAAACCCCTAAACCCTAAACCCTAAACCCTAAACCCTAAACCCTAAAGTCTCTGGAACTCTAGGCCGGGGACTGTCAGCTCTGTTGGGGTCTTAAAACACTCTGCACATCCTAAACCACATTGGTCCGCAAACTCCCTCAACACCCTGACCCCCAACCCACATCCCTAAACCCCTGAAGCCCTCTATACCTAAGCCCTTAAACCCTTAAGCCCTTAAACTTAAACCCTTAAACCCTAAACCCCTCAAACCCTTAAGCCCTTAAACCCCTAAACCCTACGTCCCCAGCTCAGCCTGACAGGCCAGTAGCAGGTCACGGCGCCGGAGGGACGCCCAGCCCAGCAACACTGCCAAGCCTCCAGCTCTTTGTCGGGGTTTAGGGTCTAGGATTTAGGGTTTAGGGTTTAGGGTGAGGGTCCTTAGGCCTCCAGCTCTCTGAGCTCCATGATGGTTTAGGGTTTAGGGTTTAGGGTTTAGGGTTTAGGGTTTAGGGTTTAGGGTTTAGGGTTTAGGGTTTAGGGTTTAGGGTTTAGGGTTTAGGGTTTAGGGTTTAGGGTTTAGGGTGGTCAGGGTTTAGGTTCAAGGCTGAAGGCACGAGGTTTTAGGGCTTATAGGGTTTAGGACTGCAAGAGCAACTGCACCACCCTCGAACTGGACCCCAAATCGTTAACCCTAGCAGCCCCAAACTCGTGGCGGGTAAAACCCCAAGCCCAAAGCCCCTAGAGCCCTAAACTCAAAGCCCCTAAAGCCCTAAACCCTAAAACGCCTCAACCCCAGAACCTCACGGCATACACTCAGTGATCCGCAAACCCTATAAGTTCAAAGCCCTACAATTCTGCCTTGCTGCCCACCCCCCCCCTTCTGCATAACCCCTATAAAGACAAAAAAAAAAAAAAAAACATGCCCTGAGTCCTCAAACTAAACCCTTGAAGTCCTAAACCCTGAACTCTTAAGACCCTATACCCTCAACCCTAAACCCTAAGACCCTAAACTCCCAACCGTAGGCCCTAAAGCCCAAAACCCTTAAACCCTCCTTAGACCCACCCCTAAACCCTAAACCCTAAACCCTAAACCCTAAACCCTAAACCCTAAACCCTAAACCCTAAACCCTAAACCCTAAACCCTAAACCCTAAAAACTAAACCCTAAACCCTAAACCCTAAACCCTAAACCCTAAACCCTAAACCCTAAACCCTCCCATCAGACACCCCCCCCCTGCCCCCGCAGCAAGCAGATCGAGGCCCGGGCTCCCGGAGAGAAAATCACCCAGGCCACCTGCGATTTAGGGTATAGGGTTTAGGGCTTGGGGGTTAGGGTTCAAGTTTAGGGTTTAGGGTTTAGGGTTTAGGATTTAGGGTTTAGGGTGGTTGCATTACAAACTTTGCAAAGGGCTTAGGG